TATATATGAATTTCTGTTTAAAACGTTCACTGACAGAAATCGAGATAAAGAATCATGTAATTACTTGAAGAGATGATCACCACTGGGGGGTAGCATTTTAAAATCTCTACACATTGAGTCACCAGAATGATTGAATGCCTTTTTCAAACAGATTGCAATTATATGAAAATAAAAAGGGCTTGGTTTATCCACTAAGACCTCCATTTGTCTATGATGACAGTAGAAAAAGAAATCAGAAGACTTGGATCTAAGTACAAGACTAGACCGAACAATCATCCAAACCAACTTTATGCATTTTTATGTAATTTCAACTCATCAATTTTCAAACTTAAAATGATCATCACATGGGGTAGCATTTCAAAATCTCTACACATTGGTCACCAGAATTACTAAATGCCTTTTTCAAGCTGATTGCAATTATATGAAAATAAAAAAGACAGAAGAACTCAGAAGAAAATATCAGAAGATTTGCATGTAAGTACAAAACTAAACTGGAAAATCATCCAAACCAACTTAATCAATTTTCTGTAATTTCACATTAGTCACCAGAATTACTGAACGCCTTTTTCAAGCCGATTGCAATTATATAAAAATAAAATAATAACTAGTTAACTGTGGTGCCAGAATTTATAAGTTTTGTATCGTCCATCAAAATCGCCTTAGGAGCATCAAAATATGTCCCAAACTTGCTGAAGACATCAGGATACCAACACACATACTATACAGGATATATTAAAAATTAAATGTAAAACCTCCCCTTTTTGAAGCTGTTTAGGGTTTATTAACCTAATTATCCTGATCACGGAGACAAATTGAAAAACCATCAAATTTTGGACAACGATCCAATTTTCAATCCTAGAAAAATCTTTTGTAACAAAAAAAACTGTAAAAAATTCAAAAGAAGATTGCCACTCGATCCAATTCCAAGACACCATTGATTCTTAACGAAAATGAATAAACTATCTTTACCCTTATCTTATCTGAGCAATTTAAAAAAGATTTATGATAAGAGATATAGAGCTTGCCAACCCTTCATCTACAATATCAACGTAATTTTTTTTTATTTACATAGTATGTTCAAACATGCATGATCAGATGCCATGATGTGCTCGGAGAATGGATGGAATTTTTTACACAATATTGCGAGAACATAAACTGCAGAACTGTTTATAGGTACGCAAATAGATAGTATGAAATTATCTCCTGGTGGTCCAAATTGTCTAAGATAGGTACAAAAACTAGATCGTCGGAAGAAATTATCAGGAATAAAAACTTTTGCAACTTTGGTAACCAATGTAACTTTTAAAATGATAAATAATATGAAGGTATTTGTTAACTTTATACAAATTTCTAGGATTCAAGATTTTTGCAATATTAATGGTCAATTATAGTATATATTGAAAGGATGATGAAATGTTTTATTTTTAGTTACGAAAAAATTATGGTAAAATTTTGGGTTTTTTTTAAACAAAAAGTTAAAAAATAAATACACGTGATATCTTACAATACCCCTCCCTCCCCACGTGATATTTTGTGTCAAAATCCCCCCCCCTCCTAAAAACCTTACGTGATTAATAGACGCCCCCCTAAGTTCCAAAAATATTCAATATCTCCAGATAGTTCCAGAAACCAAATATATGTATGTATAAACATTTTGGTCAAGATAAAACTTGTTCTCAGTACCTAATAATCAATGCTTATACATCTTAAACAATGAAATGTTTTGTTAATACTGAATGGCACAAGAGTCACGTCTCCAATGATAAAAGATGAGTCCACACGTGTATCTTGAATTAGCGAGATTAATACTTTTATATACAAGCAATGAAGAGATAATCGTATTTACAGACTCGAGACACAACATAACATTATATCCAAACAACTACAGTATATGTGGCCTATCTATCAAATGTCTTATTATGTTACTACTAATATTTCGTTGTCCCGAGATATTCTTCTAGAAACAATCTCTACCATAAACATTTTGATAAAGACGACTGTTTAACACTCTGGGGACGGCTGTCCACCTCAGTGGACAAACATACTCTGTGAGGCAAAGGCTATTTTATAAACAATGACTCAGTTTGCATCGAAAAGTTGAATAAATTACATATAGCAGTGATAAACAGTATTGTATTTTGAAAATAATTTTAAATTATTTTAGTAGTATTTTTAGCCTTGTTCTTTGCTATATGGTCTTTTTTTAATATTTAAAACGACCGAGCGCTTTTAAATATGGCAAAACGACTGGTAAATTTTGTGAATTAAGCTGTAGTGAAGATGAGTTTCAAATAGACATTCATACAGACGCTTCTCCTTCAATAATCGAGTTTGACATACATCAACAAACACCCCGACAACAAATACCAAGCAATATAAGACATCCAATAGATTATTTTACTTTTTATTTTATAAATGAATTATTAGACAATATTAGAAAAAATAAACTATTATGGCAGCAAAAAAAATGACCAAATATACTGACTAATCAGTGGCATATACTAAATGCGAGTGAAAGAAAAAGGGATTGTATTGTCTGTTCTGACAGAAAAGCACCAGGAGGAAGGCGGCGAACAACATTTTATTGTAAAAACATGTCAAAATCAACCATCTATGCATTTTGGAAATTGTTTTGAACGTCACCATTCTTTATAAAATGATCAAAAATAAATTAATATTATAAATGTATGTCCTTCAATGACCACAAAATTTTATCAAACAAATTGCATAACATACACAATGAAATCAAGTTTACAGCCGGTAATGTAGATTGTTTTGAAATCGGTGCCGTCCCGAAAGTGTTAATAATCGATCTTGGGCAGTATCATCGAATGTTTGGGATAAGAGTCAACTCGTCAATGACAAAGGCAAGCGCGTGTGTAGTCAGAATTGATAAGACCTCTGTGTTGCAGACACAACAAAAAGCTCCCAACAAAAAACCAGAACAATATGTCAGATTGCTTTGAAACAGATTGGGTTGACGTCACACGATCCACCGTGGGATGAAAATGGATTAATTAAAATATCCATTACGGATGATCAGGTTCCTAACTACTAAATTCTAATCCTAATTGCTAACTGATTTTTTAATTTCTTAACTGAATGAAATAATCATTCACTCGTCGAAAGAATGAAGTTGGCCAGAAAATGCAATATACTAAAATTTATGATTTCTCGGTGTTTCAGATCATTGAGATAGTTTGACCCCAAAATGGGAAAAAGTGTATGAGTGCAAAGTGAAGGTGAGCCAAAATTTTACCTTTCGCTAAACTTTTCTGCTGCACCGATATAAAAATTTAGAAGTCATTTGTTGAAATTCGATATTAAGGACAAGTCATGATTAGTTTTGCAGATAACTGCAAAATTTTTGGTCAACGATTTAGAGTCTAATTTAGATAAAATTCCTCGACCATAAACAAAATTTCATGGAAATTGTGGTGACAAGTTTTTGGAAAACATTGGCCAATTTGATTATAAAAATTCAATATTGCTTGGAACAAAATACATTTTCAGTACACAAAGTAATATCAAATGTGTTGAAAATATACATTTTATTATACTTATAATATTACTTAAGCAGAGTTCAAAATACATAGTAAATCTAGTTGATAGACCCAATAAAATATGATTGTCCTAAGTTTTTGATAACATCATTTCTTAATCAAAGATTGGAATGGATCAGTAATTGAAAATTGTTAATATATTAAATTTTCTACTACGGGAAATTTATGGATTTTTCACAGAAACAATATTTTGAAAAAAAAAAAATTATTTGTTGTCCCACATTTTAGTAATCTTAAGTGCACGAAATATCGAATTTATAAAAAAGATAAAATGTTTATCAAAATGTATAAGGAAATTACAGAGTTATTTAATACATATTTACGATAATGAATTCTAATAAGGTCGTCAATATCATAAGTAATCATTTGAATCTTTAGAAATGCCATTCGTGAAAAATAAATAAATTTGATACCGCAACATTAACCTAAAAATATTATCTGCAGTTTATTACATCGTTTATGTAAGAAAACTGATATTGGTTAAATCAAAGTTAAAGATGCAAAATATTTTGACTAGGCCGAGTGATAAGTTAAAAATTAATGGACAAAAATGAACATATTTTTGTTCATTTTTTAATATTGATCACACGATTAAATCATGGCAGATAATAGAGTAATCGTGTCCACGATTAAAAAAAAATGAATTCATACCAAAATTATTATATTTAATTATTTTAGAAAAGTACGATATCTTCAAAAAACATTTTTGAATATATTTTAACCAGAAATACTTGAACTTATATCACATTTAAATTTACAAACGCTTCTGCGAAAGAAATATTTTATAGCTTGCTTTACTACTTTCAAAACAATATTTCCAAAAAAAAAAGAAACCAAAAACGTGGAAATGATATAAAAACTGCATTAATAGTTATTTTTTAGGTATGAATTTTACATAAGATTTTATATTTAATTGTAGCCTGATAAATTGAGCCAGTTGAGCAATTATAAACTTAGGTTGCCAGATTATGTTGCAGTATTATTTTGTGAAAAAACGCGAGAGTGCGGTACGAAAAGGTTTGAAACCACTGCCCTGACAATAAATCCTAAAATTTACAGAATTTTATGCAATACTTAAAGTTAAAAAAAAATGAACTATGTACTGAGTAAAATGTAGTAAAAAAATACTAATGGTCACAAAGACAATTTTGTTAAAAATATTGTAATCGTTTCATAAAAATTGATTTAATTTTAGGAAAAGCAATAGAAAATATTAAAAATGTGGTATAAGATTAACCCTGTCCACTCGCAAATTTCGGAATTTGTATGTATTTTGCCCCTGGAGTGTTGGCATCCGAGTCGAAGAGGTTAAAATTATAAAACTAATAAATTTTGATACTATACGCGCCATCTATTTAACAAAAGTATAAACTCACTCGCCATCTATCCATCAAGGAGGCGAAACATTTAAAATTAAATGGCGCCCATACTTCAATTTCAACTCAACGAGGCATGTTTTTAATACAATAAATTTTATATTTTTCAAATTGAACGTATCGACAATAGTCAATAAAAATGTTCAAAAGCATATCAAATATTAGAAACCAAAGAAACATAAGTGTAAGTATAAAATTGTTAGTGTGAAATTTTTGAAGGTTATGTAGTAATTGAATAATGTTTCACAGATTCTTTCAAGGATATGGTCCGGTAAAAAAGCAGAAAGTGCAGTACAGTCAGAAACTGAAATTAAAACTATTTTAGCTAAAAAATTCCCAAATGTGAGTAGAATAATTTGATGTATTATATATATTTCTAGCTAACGAGTTCCCAAATGAATATTGTATTAAATGATTTTATTACCAGTTTGTTACTCTATCTTTATTATCTTTCTATTAATTCTTAATATTATCCCTTATCTATTTCCAGGCAAAATCAATCGAAGTGCAAGATGTATCAGGAGGTTGCGGTGCCATGTTTGAAATAGCTGTAGAAGCCGCAGATTTTAAAGGAATGTCAACAATTAACCAACATCGATTAATAACAAATACATTAAAGGATCAAATTAAAGATATGCATGGAATTCGAATTCAAACTAGTGTACCAAAATGAAATTGTATAGATTGTGCTGTATTAAAATAGTAATAAATATTTTGTAATAACTTAGTACTCTTAATACTCTCATAAGGGAAAATTTGAATATAATCTGTATTTATGAAACTTAAAGAACTATCGAAATGGAATAGTCATATTATGTGGCTTAGATAAAGGATAAAGCATTATTGATGTTTGGGAAATGGAAGCTTTAGACTGGAAAAGAAATTCATATAACTGAGTCATTTCAGGAATCCTTTACAACTTTCAGAGGGTCTACGTCAGCAAAAAAATGTTCAGTGTCCACGTAATGAAAATGAGAGTCCATAATAGTGGATCACAACACACCACGTCTTTTTACCTATATTGCACTATATATAATAAAGTCATATGCAATAATAATAAACAAAACTAAGAAGCAAATTTGAATATTGTTCTTTTTTGTAAAAATGTGTAAGTTGTAGCTAAAGTAAGCATTCGATTTGTGGTCACAATAATGTTGAGCTTGTAAAGACCAAATTTGTTGACTATCAAACTCTTGGCAATATTCTGTGTGCTTTTTGAGACTGTATTTCTGAATAATAAAGATAAATGATTTAATAGTTGTAAAATAAACAGCATAAAGAAGGTTTAGTGTTATTACTTATCTCTTATTAAAAAAATGAGAACATGTAGATTAAACAGCGGACATCATAAGCAAAGATATGTAAAAATAATCCTTACAAAATTGTTGCCACATGTTGATAGCTTGATGAAGGCTTTGCAACATTCTTTGTGCTTTTTAAGGCTGCTGTAGTCTTTCTGAATACAATAAAAAATTTAATATTTGTAAAATGAACAGCAGAAAGAAGGTTCAGTGTTATTACTGATCTCCTAAAAAAAGAAAAAATGTAGGCTGAATAGTAGACATTGTTAGCAAGGATACGTAAGATTAAACGTTATAAAATTGTTGCCATATGTTTATAACTTAATAAAGGCTTAGCGACATTTTTGTGCTTTTTGAGACTGCTGTTGCATTTCTGAATACGATAAAAGATTATTTAATATTTGTAAAATGAACAGTAGAAGGAAGGTTTAGTGTTCTGTTACTAACAGAAACAAAGATGTAAACTGGACACCATTAGTCAAGAGATGTAAGATTAAACCTTTCAAAATTGTAGCCAAATGATGATAAATAAGCATTCACTTCTCGCTTACTTTATTTTTTCAATATTTTACATTCAATTAATATATAAAAGCATCATGTACTTTGTACTTGATGATTTCTACTTTTACTTTAAGTCTTTAATAATAATTTTAGTACAGTTTAAAAATCTACATCGGGTAAATAGGGGATTCATGCCAAAGTCCAAGGGGGGCACAAAACAAACAAGTTTGGAAACCTATTATGTAACTAACTAAACCAAATCTTTAAAAATAATCATATTCAAAATTCAAAATGGTGCTTCTTAAAACAAAATGGAGATTTCAATGAAGATATCAATTTTTTTTTTGTCAATATTTCAATACATGAAAAAGTTTAACTTGAAAATTGATTTCACCTAGGAAACTGTATATTTATAGAACTTTGTACTTTTTACCTGGTTTATTAATGATTCATCATATTTTTTTTTCAGAGCATTAAGAAAATTGAATTATTTATTGAAAATAGAAAAAGCAAATATAAGTTAAAATGCGGGACTTTCAGAAATTTCTCTGTAAAACTAATTGTAAAAAATAGAGGTTATTACTACATCCATATGTAAAAATTTTAGTCATCCGACATTGAAAATATGTTAACCTAAAAGCAAGAATTTTCTTGTAACAAAATGAATATTTTTTACTAATATTAGGTCGGCCATTCACATATATATTAATGCAGCAGCAATTATATAGCTTTCGAAAAAACTAATAATTTCTTTTAAAAAGAAACGTGGAACATTAACCTCCACGAGGTTATGTAAAAAAAATGCGTCCTACATATCAAAATCTTAAAA